ACCCTCGTATCAGTTCCCTCTGCCACAGTTTATACTAGGACTTTGCTAAGAAAGCATGGTACTTCAGCCTCCTAATGACTTTTCAGAGATACTAAGATTTCACAAAGTCCTTATTCCCCAGGAAAATTCTGGTGAGATGCCTTTTGCTTGTGTAAACATCCAGTTCATCCTAAACCTTACTGAGTGAGAAGACTCACTTGGAGTTAGCAGGGCAGTTCCAGGGACATTTTTCTAGAACAAAAGATAGGAGTTTTTGCTCTAGCTGAAAGTTTATCTTTAAGTCTCTTTAAGAATACCTGAGGACTCATTATTGTTGCTGTTACAGAAATACGTGGATCTGTCACTCAGTGTGAATCCTAACATGCTACCGAATATGGAAAAGATATGCCTTGGAGAGAAACTGGAGTTTAAACAGACAAACCATGTGCAAAATGGAGGAGTAAAGCCGTATTTCACAGCTAGGGATTTGATGTAGAAAGAGATGGAATAAGTTTCTCAAACCTTTCACAATAAATCATCAGTGCTCTAAGACAAATCTTGATGAGGACCATGAGAAGTATCAAAAATAGTATCAAAAAATAGTGTGGCCAGCAGGACCAGAGCAGCATGTACTCAGCATGGCTGAGGCCAAACCTCGAGCGTGTCCAGAGAAGCTGGTAAAGGTCTATACAATTAAATTATGTGAGGAGCAGCTGAAGGACCTGGGGTTGTTTATCCTGGAGACGAGGAGGGCTAGGGTGACCTAATCATTCTCTACAACCCCCTGAGAGGAGGCTGTAGACAAGTGGGGGTTGGTTTCTTCTCTCAGGCGACAAGTGAGAGGACAAGAGGAAATGGCCTCAGGTTGTACCAGGGGAGGTTCAGGTGGGACACCAGGAAGAATTTCTTTATGGGAAGAGTTTTAAGCATTGGAATGGACTGTCAAGAGAGGTGGTGAAGTGAATGCCCCTGGAGCTGTTCAAGAAATGACTAGGGAGAGCACTTAGTGCTATGGTCTAGTTGTCAAACAGGTAATTGGTCAGAGGTTGGACTCAATGGTTGGGGAGTAATCCTGCAATGATTCTGTGAACTAGTTTTGTGGAGATTCATGAGAATTTGCAAATAAGCATTTATCCTTAATTAACATTTTTATTATTCTTTCACTTATCCCAGAATCAGTATTATTTCAGTAAGTATGGGTACTTATTGAAAGCCTTGATGAAACCAGACAGATTCACTCAAGTCAATGAGGAAAATTCATTGTCCATGCAAAGAATCTGGTTATAATGTATTTTCTTTTGCAGTGTGCAGAATGGGGGGTAAGAAACTTCCAAGTGTGGTTTGTGCTGCTAGGTTTTTTAAGGTATTTGAATAGGGAAATCTCAGGCATCTTTCAATGCAACAGAATGTCAATTTTCCATTGATGTCCCCACAAACATACAAAGATAAATGTATTGCTACCCTATTCTCAGAAAACCTGTCTGAAGTCCATATTCTGCATGCTGTGAAGAGCGTTAGATAACCAGAGTCCTACTTATGAAGCAGCCACTTTTCCTGAACTGCAGTAGTGCATTAGTACAAGACTAACTTAGTCCTTTTAGGACATTTGTTCTGTGCTAACTTAATGTTGATTTCTACTCATTGTCACAATGAGCAAGGTAGAAGGTTTCTTTTAAAAACCAAGAAAGGAAAGCAATTTATGCAAGTCGTAGTGGAAAGTCTGTAGCAGATGACTAGCAATAGAAATGCCTTAATTACAAAATCATTTTATTGTTTTGTAGGATTAGAATATAACAGGAGTCCACGCTCTCATGTGAAAACCTGCTGTCACTGCCAGCTGTTTGGTTTTTTTGGGGTTTTTTGGGTTCTTGTTTATTTGTTTGTTTTTGTGGGTTTTTTTTCCTAGCTAAGGATTCATTATTATTCTATTAGGTGATAATTATGAATGAAGAAAAGTAAATAATTCACACTAGGCACACTTTTTTCCTTTTCACAGTCCCTTTTGTTTTCTGCTAACTTTTTTGTGCATTTTGTGTTTGTTTCATACACCCTTCTTACTCACATAAACTTCCCTTGGGTGTGATAGTGACACCAAATTGGATCATAGTGGCAGCAAGATTTTGGGAGCTGTCAGCTGTGTCAAGTAAGGCAGACAAATAGGAAGCTGCCTTTGTACTGATTTATACCTGAATTGTGCTTTGCACATCTGTCTAATTTCCAAGATAAACACAGAGTACGGTATGGCAGGCAGGCATGGTCACAACAGGTTGCAGTGAGGTATGTCATTTCATAGCGTGCAATTTCCTCTTTGAGTCATTTTGCAAGAAAGATTGAATCACTACATCCTCTTTTTCATCTGTGGTTCTGCCTCTGCATATCAATGCCATGACTAGATCCAAGGTGGATGCACCTTTTTAGTGTTAAGGGGAGGTTAATGCCACACACTACAGTAGAATGACTGTCCCCTTCGCAAAGCTTTTGGAAGAACTCAAAAATCATGTAAAGTACATTTGCAACTTTTGCAACTGATCAAGCATGGAAACTGCTAAGCAAATAATTTGGGATCTGAGTAAAGAAAAAAAAGATTAAATAAAATTACTAACCTGTTTTGCTTTAAATTTGACATGTGAAGAGCTGAAGAATTCTGTCTCACACTTGTTCAGGGAACCAGATTCAAACCATGCTAACCTGCTCTATCAAAGAACAAATTAGCAGTATGATTTGCTGTTTTCAAATGTCTCTAGTCCCCATTCAAAGCCCAAACAGCTCTTTCATTTGGTGGGGTCCTATTTGTTTAGAATTTTCCGTGTCACTAAAACTGCAGCTTGGACATCTGACATCCATTTTTTTTTTCCAGCTTTTCCACAGAAAGGTAGCAGTAATTCCCAGTGGCAGCTTCCCAGAGCAGAGGGAGTACCTCAGTGGATAGTTAATTTGTTATGCAGCATCTGGGATTCTTTTCAGCGTCTCCAGTTACTGGCCTGATCCAATTTCCATTAACATCAAGTATAAGATTCCCATGACTTCAGTGGGGACCAGAACTAGATCCTAAACTTCTGTTGACACTAAACATTGGAACAGAAAGTGGACTATGTTGCTGAGTTTCATGTAGAACAGAAAAGATCCGAAACTCTGTGTTCATAAGCTATAAAGGATAGACAGAATGCAAATACATGATATTGCTGAGGGTTTTTAAAATTTTTTAATTTCTTTTTATTGTTGTTTTTTACTTTTTATAGTGTTTGATGTCTAATATAGTAAAGAAAAAGACATAATAGTCTCAGGATCATGAACTCCACATTGTCATTTTGCCTTCCTACACGTGTGAAAAGATGACATCTGTTAATATTCTGATGTCTGTAAGATAAATCAGTGCCAACAGGAAAAGACAGCTCCATTAGGAACAAATGGTTCTAACACAATATCTCGTGACAGGTATTTGCAGTGCTTCAGAGGCACCATTTCAATACAAACTGTGACTATACGTGGTATTTAGGAACGGTGACTTGTCGCTTGTAAATGGAGATACTGTTATGGAGCAAGAATTGTCATAAAAGGCATTTAATTTAAGGGCAATCGCAAAGCTGAGGCTGTTTTTTATTAAGTACTCTCAGTGTATGAAGCTACAGCCCAGCTGCTTATTGGCAATACATAGAATCATAAGCAGTGGCAGAATTACTCTCTTTATAATGTCCTTGGGACACAAGCAATGTGATCATTATAAAATGGTGCACTTACAAGCTTAACACATGCAGTATAATTTTGGTTTGATGTACACTGTGTAGGAAAAGATTGTGCATAATGAGAGTGAAGTCATCTACTACTGGAACAGAGAGTGCCTTGCCAAGTGAGCTTCCCTCCCACAGGGATCCTCCAGAGTACAGCTGGGTGAAATAGTCTGCCCAGAGCCTGTTCTTGAGAAAGGCAGAGGATTTTCATTCATACAGTTATTCAGGTTAATTTCAATGCATAACTTTTCCTTGGAGAAAAAAAAACAAACAAAGCATCCAAAACTAACCAACCAACCAACGAACCAACCAATCAACCAACCAACCAAAGAAAAAATACAAACCCAAACTCAAATCAAAACACCTTTCTCATCTTTTTTAGAAACATCAGTGTTTTGGAGCCTTGAGAAATGTAATAAACATAACAAAAATGTGGACTTCAAAGTACTGGTCCCCACCCTGGAAACATAGGAGTGAAAGTGGGAGTTGATCATGATCTGGTTGTTCCAAATGAAATCCTGGTCTTGCCTGCTTATACGATAAATCATGATTTGGGTTGTCCCAAAACCTAGTAGGCTTCTCTTTATTCATTAGGGTTCACTCACTGACCTATGAAAGCAACTTTGTGGCCTAGCTCGGACCAGGGGCCTTTTATTTCAGCTAGCCTCTAAAAACCTCCTGCTTTACACTGCTCTCTGAACTCTGGCTTTGCTCCACAAGCCAGGACAGAGAATAAGCACCTTTTGTGCCTGCTACAATACTTGACGAGCATCCTGATTGCAAGAGTCCCTTCCTCTCCTGAGAATGCAATGTCTACAGTGTGGGATACCCTATCCTTTAGCAGGCTATGCAGTGTGGCACTAGGTTACTGTGCTTTTGCTTCCACATTATGTATTCAAGTCTTACATTACGGTATGGAATTCTGTTGGGAAGGTTATAAAGATAGAGGCTATCTGAAAATCCATGTCCAGGCCTGGCTTCATATTTTAAACCTGCTAAGTCCAAGGCTGTTCAGAGCAAAAATGTTTGCTCTGGCTTCTCATGGCTCCTAGCCTCTTCATATGTCTGTATGTGTGTGTCCTGGTTTGGGCTGGGATAGAGTTAATTTTATTCTTAGGAGCTGGTACAGTGCTGTATTTTGGATTTAGTATGGGAATAGTGTTCATAACACACTGATGTTTGGGTTGTTGCTAAGTACTGCTTACTCTAAATCAAGGACTTTTCAGGTCTCATGTTCTGCCAGTGAGCAGGTGCACAAGAAGGCAGGAGGGAGAACAGCCAGGATAGCTGACCTGAACTGGCCAAAGGGATATTCCATGCTACAGAATGTAATGACCAGTGTATGAACTGGGGGTATTGACTGGGAGCTGCTTGTTGAGGGACAAGATGAGCATCAGTGAGTGAGGGGTGAGTGATTATATAGTGCATCACTTCTTCCTCTTGGGTTTTACTCCTTTCTCCCTCTACTTGTCATTATTATTATAATGTTCCAATTATCAAGCTGCTCTTAACTCATGGGTTTTACTTTTTTTTATCTTGATTTTCCTCTCCATCCCATAGAGGGTGGGAGGAATGAGCAAGTGACTACATGAGGCTTAGTTGCTGATTGGAGTTATCCCATATCAGCATGAATACACCAGCCAGGATGTACAGTGTGTGGCTATGTGTGTCCTTGTTTATGTCCCAGCATAAGCACCTGCATGTGGGTGTAGTGAATACCACAAATGCAGAGCTACAGCAGCATTTATTCTTCCTATAAAAGAAGCAATTGGGTCATCTTTGGTCTATATGCTGCTTAGGAGAAGACAGCAAAAGTATACATTGTCTCATGACAGCAAGACCTGATACTCATGCCTTCTTTTAAGCAAATTGCTCTTACAGCAAGCCAACAGGTAGAAAGCTTGTTCAGACAGAAATAAAAGGGATCTGCAGAAGTAGCTTCAGGAGTGCATGTGAAGCAGAGGAGGCAGCGGCCAAAGAGGCCCCCTCATGTGCTCCTGCCACAGAGGAACGCACCAGGCAGCAAAACACAGCCAGGCAGTGTTTGTTGAAAGGGCAGGATGGCTGCTGTTTGCCCCTTTGCTGTCTCTGGCTCGCCTCAGTGGTCGAGGTGAAAGCAGGAGGGGATGTGGCACAGCTGCCTCACCAAGTATCACCACTTTCAAATTCCACTTCTTATCTCAGCCCTTCTTCCTTGTTGCTAATTACCACCTACTCCAAGATGTCAAGAACATACTCCCAGGAATAAACTGCTAGATAAACAAACCCCAGACAAACATCAAAGCTTAAAACAAACTGATAAGTCCCTTTGATTGATTTTAAGGGTCGGTGGGGAGAGGTGTGTTTGGATTGGAAGGTGCAAATGTTGAGCGGAGCAGCACCTGCTGCCTTGTGATCTCACCAAACCATTTGGCTTGAAAAGGCCAGGAGATAGGGAATCAGAAATCCATTTGGAGTTACAAAAGCAGCAGGGGAGGCTTAGATGAACAAAGGGGCTCTCCAGGCAGGGCCGTGTGCTGCTTTTTGTCAGCTTGGTATCACATTCCCTGCCCCAGCGTGACAGACAAATGCCAGGCCAGATGATGTGATACGATCGGCCTTGCTGGGATGAGGTCTGTACCTGTATTATATGATGGCAGCAGATGCTGATTCAATATGGGGACAAGCACAGAGTAAACCCAGGCTTAAACTTCTCAGCTAAAATTATTTTCAAGTACCTGTGTCAGAAGGCGGGAAGGGAGTTGTTCAGAGACAAGGACAGGCTTGGGATGTGCTTCTGTATGGATGGAGCACTTGTGAAAAACGCTCAGTTGGAGAACAAAATGTGTGTGTGACTGCAGAGCTCTCCCACCCCTTCCTGGGGTCTCACAGATTCTCAGACCTGCCCTGCAGAGGCTGTGCTTACCTCAGCCAACGTGGGAATGGGAATCCAGCTCATGCCTCCTAAACCAGAGATTAGTAGAGAAAGCTTACAAAGGCCTAAATGTGCCTAAGATCAAAGTGATACAATTTGCTGTGATAAAGCAGGATATCTTTCCCTCTCTTAAGTTCCAGTGCTGCAAAAATATTTCCATGCTCTTAACTACACACATACATTAACGCCACGGTTACTGACGGGCTCTCCATATGCTCAGCTAAGCAAGTAGGATTCAAGGACTCAGACTCCTATCAGCTAATTTTATAAACTTCATGCCTAGGGGTGTTTCAAAAGCTGCAGTGATGTGCTGAGGTGGATCTACACCATTCATGCTTTACCATTTCCTCTGAAGGTGACTGACTCTCTGCTGAGGAGAGCAATTGCAGTTGAAAGGAGCACAGCATGACTGGGAATTCTGCCTTGATTGTACTGTGCACAGTTAAAAGTGAAAAAAGGTGCAGTCTACACTGTTATTTTACTTACTCACTTCCATGAATAAATTTGCTTTCTGATCTCTTACTAGAAAATGTTAGTTTTGTCCTAGGGTTTTTGGGAGGTTGTTTTATTTTCCTCAGGCAATGAGGGGGAAAAAAGAGGGAGGGGAAAAGGGTGTCTCTGGTTATGAATTTGCTGTAACTGATGGTAATTCTAATGTAAAGCCCATGCTTACCAAGCTCAGAAGCTCTAAAAAATCTTTCAGTTTTCCCTATTTCTTCTAGTGAAAGCAAAGGAAATGAGACTAAAGAAATGATGGGTGGGTGAAAAAAAGACAGTTCACATTACTGAAAAATGGAAGTGGGTGGATGTTTCAGAAATGCTTGATCAACATTTGCAAAAAAACAGGACCAATGTCTAAGAAATAGTTTACCCTCAGGAATAATAGGAGAAAAGTAATTTTAAGTAAACTACTGAAATTCTCAACTTGAATCTTCATCATACAAATCCAGTTCTTGGATCATTACTTATCCAGTTATAGACTGGGAGACTGTGCTCTGTGAAAAACAAGCAAGGGAGGTTGAATTTCTGCAAATGAGTTTTCAAAACCATATTTATTTCAGGACAGAGTGGCTGACTCAGTCCTGTTACTGGCATTGCCTATAGTGTTTAAATGGTGTTTCAAGATGCACCTCTCTACACAAGAAAATGATGGTAAAAATTCCCAGGCATGCTCCATTTCCCAGCGATTTCTGCTGAAACCACTTGGAGCGTGTGCAGCGACATTAATATGACTGAAGAAATATTGATGTACATTGAAGAGATCAAGGAGGGACATGTTTTTCTGACTCCCTACTTACAAAAAAAAAAAAAAAAAAATAAAAAAGAAGATTAAAAAAAGCAACACCACCTCTCTGTACATTAGACTTTCTGTCTACTGAAATGGCACAAAAAGAACATCTCTGAGGGCTTTCCATTGCCAATAGGGAAGATTTATAGCTTCAGCACAATTTGTTTTAATCTCTGAGGGAGAGGAGGAGGAAGGGAATGGATTCGATGATACATAGAGAAACATTATTTCCCAAAGGCAGATTTTATTTCTTTAACAATTTATAAAGCTCCAGAAGTGAAATATCACTATTTTGGGACTGGTGTTATATATCAATGAGTTTAGCAGCTGCCAGGCTTATGCATGTATTTTGTACTGTACGTACAGTGCAAAGGCCATTGATTCAACAGCAGTCTTTATTGTCATTGTTGCAGTAGATCACCAAATTTTGATCTTAAGAGACAGGCTGTGCACTGAGAAATGTTAAAGGCAAACCTGTATAATAAACAAACCCTGTTCTACCTCTGCTAATCACCCTACTAACTACCTCAGCTGCTGCATCTCACTTTTTCTGCTCTTTGCTAGCAGCAGATCTGACCACAGTTCTTTTCATTCTGCTGCCATTAACTGTGTAGGGATATAAATGTTACCAAATAGTAAATATATTGATATAAACTTTCTTGAAAGATTTTTCAGTGGGGGAGGTGGATATGTACTTTGGGGGAGGTAGAAAAACCAAATCTTGTGACTCTTTCTGTAGTTGTACCAGCTTGGTAGGCCCTATGGAATACTACAGGGAGTACCTGGATTTACAGGAAAAATATCAAAAGTCTGCTTTTAAGGTGGAAAATGTAGTGATCAGCATAGACAACTGTTTTAGTAGAAGATGGGCTCTTGAAGCCATACATACCTCAATTATTAAGAGGTCTCAAAATGATACAAATGATTGTATGCAATTCACAGGTCACTCCATGACCACTTTCTGCCTGAATGTTGCTAATTATGAAACCAAAAATGTTTTTACTCTTGAGTCTTGAAGGAACCTGAGGTAATAAGAGAGATAAGCTACTTCTCTTTCAGAAAGTAAAATATGTTTCATTTTGAGGTTTTACACAATAAGAAGTAAAGAAACTTTCAGAGGGTTTCTGCAATCCTCTCTTTTATAAAGGGCTCTGTAATCATTGCCTGTGTTACCTATATTTTCATTTCTCAGAGCACAGTTGAGATAAGAAAGGATATAGCTCTACTGAGATACAGACACTGTTCCCCTGTGTCTTTTCTCTTCCTTTTAACTTTTGTTTGTGTTGGAGAAAAATCTAGTTTTCAGCTCTGTGGCCACAGAGCTTTTACTGTCAGCAGAATCAGTGTATTGTCCCTAGGCAAAGTCAAAGGAGACAATGGCAGGGCAGTATATACATTGTGCATTGTTACAGCCTCAGCAGGGACTTCTGGTATGGGAATGATTTATGGGAATACAGAGTGAACCAGGGCCATATTCTTCCATGAGTGTGTTGGGACCCCAGAAAGCTCTTACAGACACCGATTCCTTTTTCATTGGGTGCTCTCTGGATTTAGCTTATTATTATAGGATGTTTAGAAATAATTTAGGCCAGACTTTGCTGATGACTCCACTTTACTTGAGTTGCATCAAGATTCAAAAGATGAGAATCAAAAGTTTGCTTGATATTAATATCACTGTTGATCCAAGGCTTTGAAAATTGCTGGTTATGACAGTGAAATGGAGAGCAGCTTCACTCATTCTGATGAAGCTTGCAAAGCAGAAGTCTGCTATTTCAGTTCCTAAGAATGTCTGCATAGTTTGTTAATCCCTGGAAGTGGGAAGCCAGCTTTTAGGAACAGCAGGAGGGACTGGACCTTTGGTGTTTGCTAGCTCTGAAACTGGGATTTAGCCAGATTATTCTTCATTTCTCACAAAAGGGGAGTCATAGTGCTTGCTGAAGCCAAATGACAGTTGTGGGAGCTGAAACTTCCATTTACTGCATACAACAGCAAAGCTAAGAGGAAGCCATGGCTGCCAGATGTTTGTTTTACATAATCCAGAGGATGCAGATGTCTTTCTTCAGCAATGAACATTTTTTGATATTGTTTAAAGGCTGGTACCTAAGAAACAGATTCTAGATTGTGACTTAAACTATGTCTGAGTGGACTGAAGCAAAGATCCCTTTCCTCTTTGCAGGTTACCTGAGGCAGCTCGGAACCTGGGGT